TCGGCAAAGCACCCTGCACCCAAGCCTCTGTGAAGTCCCAGAGGCTTCTTGCCACGGAGCCTCACGACTGTAAGATTCACAGAGACACAGGGCATCACTGCACGTGAAATAGTTTGCGCATTTTATTAACAGGCGAAACTCCATCTACGATTCCCAGACATGTGACTCCAATCTTTTAACACCCTAAGTGAGGCTCAGGTCACATTAACTGCCAGGATGCCGTTGGGGGCGTTTTGGTCCAGCCATGGCAGGCCTGGGACCCGGCGCGAGGCCGAGCCCCTAGGAGGCGCTGGCGCAGGGGCGGAGAGCGAGGCCACCTCGCTCACATGCGTCAGGTCTGTGGACTCGCGCTGCAGCGCGCTGCCGCCGCGGGTGCCCGGCGCTGCGACGCACACGCGGCCCGAGGCTCTGCGCGGGTCGTGGCGCAGGAGGCCCTCACAGACCCTGCGGAAGCCCTTGCGGAAATGCTTGGACACCAGCGCGTAGACAATAGGGTTGACGCACGAGTTGGCGTAGGAGACCAGGTGCGACAGGATGCGCAGCGCGTAGGTGGCGCGCGTAAGTGGGAAGTGGCCAAACCACACGCAGAGGATAAGCGCGTGGTGAGGCATCCAACAGAGGCAAAAGAGCGCGGCCACGATGATTATCATGCGCGTCACTTTGCGCTTGGCGCGCCGGGAGCCGGAGGCCACCGGATCGACAGCGCGCCAGAGGTAGCGCAGAGTGCGCGCGTAGGTCAGACCCAGCACCAGCACGGGCAGCAGGTAGCTGAAGACAAAGGTGCAGAGGTCCATGGCGCGGCGGCGAGGCGCGCTCCACGCCGGGTGGCACACGGTCAGGTTGGCCAACTGCGACTGGCGGTAGTAACTCAGGTAGGGCCCGGAGAGGAGCAGCGACAACCCCCAGATGAGCCCGATGGCCGCCAGGGCGTTACGACGCGTGCGCAGCTCGCGGGAGTGCAGCGGGTAGCGGATAGCCAGATACCTGCGGGTCAGGCCAGGAGGGGAGACGTCAGCTGAAAGGGCGGATTCGCGGGAGCAGGGCGGGACCCCTGCACCTCAAGTACCACACCCACTCTCCACGAAGGTCCGTAGCGCACGGTCGCACCGCACACGTCTGGAGGGCGACCCAGGTTATCCCGGACACTCAGCAGCGTGTAGATGTGCGGAGGGACCTAGCAGCCAGAAAGGCACGCGTATAGGCCACTCATCTACTCTTCCCGCGACTACGACCACAGTCATACTCCATCCTGGAGGGCACCCCGAAGGTCGTACAGGCATTGGGGCCCGGAGAGGTAGGACTCAGGCGCCTTGAAGCTCTAGCAGACAGCATGGAGACACGTCAGGCAAAGTAACGCGAGGGGATTCCTCAGGGAAGCTGACGCTCTGTGGGTCCCACCGGCGCTCTCGGAACCTACACCTCCGTGCTCAACGGAACTGAGGGGTGTACGGGGAATGTGGCCTCTCCTCGCTGCTTGTCCAGGGGAGGTGGGGAGGACGTCGGGGCGGAGGAGCCGGAGAGACACCATAGTCAGACCCAGATTTCCTTCCCAGGAATCATCCAGGTGTCCTCCTAAGCTCCAGCTGGGGGGTGGTGAAGCTCAGGCGCCCTCCTCTCCCTGCCCTTGAATGGGGAATGGAGGTGGGGTGCAGAGGGGGTGGGACCGAGCTAGGGACCCAAATTCTGCAGTCCAGACCAGAGTCGAAAGCACCGAGCAAACCGTGGTTTCGAGTCTAGCGAGGTGGAGGCGCCTGTGTTTGACGCCAGGAGACAGAACGCTGACTTCACGCACACGATTACTGCATAGGTGACTCTGCTCAAGTCACTTACAAACTCAATCTCGTCTATAAATGGGGCATAGTAATTCCTCCCATCCCAACCTCACAGGGACGTTGAGCGCAAGCCAAAACAAGCATGGGAAACGCTTTGAACCTGGAAACGCTGCTCTTCCGCAACCGCGGCTCTGGAGAGCTGAGGTCTCCAACCTGCAGCCCCAAGGATGCACCTAACGGAGGGACACCGCGGTCCCCCATTCTTATTATTTCTCCCGTTTGTCTTTCACTCCCTTTCCGGTCTCTTTGCTGTCTTAGTGGCTTTTTGTACTCTCTGCAAGTCCCTCCTTGATCCTCGAGCCCTGCCCCCGCCTGGGTACCGGACCTGTGGGCCGCCAGGGCGCTTGCTTACCTGTCCAGGGAGACGGCGGCCAGCGTGAAGCTGCTGGCGTGCATGGTGAGGAAGATGAGGAAGTGCACGGCCTTGCAGAGCAGCGAGCCGAACACCCAGTCGTCCAGGGTGTAGATGGTGGCCTGGAAGGGTACGCAGCACAAGATGAAGCACAGGTCGGCAACACCCAAGTTGAGAATGAACAGGTTGGTGGTGCTAACCGCCTGGCCGCCACGCAGCAGCACGGCCAGTACCAGTGCGTTGCCCACGGTGCCCACGAGGAAGATGAGCGCGAACAGCATGGGCACGATGACCGCCTCCGGCTGCCGGCTGCCCCCGCCGCCCGCCTCGCTCGCGTCCTCGGCCCCGGGGCCACCCGAGCCATTCATGGTGCCGCCGAACCAGAGGCTATCCGGGCTCCTACAGCCTCCTGGGTCTTGCCGAGCGCGCGGCTCCCACGACTCGGCCGCTGCAGCGCCCAGTGCAACTCCGCGGAGCTGCGAGCAGAGTGAGCCTCGTCGCGGCTGGAGCTGGAGACCGCGATGCGCTGGGTCGCAGGAAGGAGCGAGCAGCTGGAGGGGTGGGATGGTCCCCCACGGCGGCTGGCCACGCGGAGGGAAGTGCTGTTCAGCAGCCCCAGAGCGTCCCAGCTGAGGCACGGGCAGTCCACTCCGGGCACGCGGGGCCCTCTGGAGAGGTCCAGCCCCCGGGTTTGGGCTGTGCGGGGATGAGCGGCGCACTGACTGACCTCCCCGGCAGTCGCCAGAGTGGCGAAGGACCGACCGCCCGGACCTGCGTCTGCGCGGCGCTGCTGGGACCCCGCGTTCTTCCGCGCTTCCCTGCAGCCTGGCGGGCTCGCGGAACCTCCACGGGGGAGTCTAGGAATATTTCCGGGAGGATCCGTGGGGGTGGGGGTGGGGGAGGTGACGAGGGGCGGAGGTGGATTGGATGGACGGCCGCAGTATTCCAGAACTGGCTAGTGGGACGGCCCCAGCGTGTACGCCACCCCGCTTCCCATTTCTAATTCCCAGGAGCACCGAGCCTCACAGGAACCCCAGAGAGCCCCGGTGGGGAGGATTGAAGGTTTCTGAGGGACCTTGGTTAGCTTCATCTCATTCCCTTCTCACCCATTGAACATTTTTCCCTCCAATTCAATCCAATAAATACTGAGCATCTCCTGTGTGTCAGGCGCTGTCCTGGGCCGCTACGCCTGAATTTCCTCAGCTGTAATTTGGGATAAATAACACCTCAGAGGGCCCTAGTGAGAATGGAATGAGAAGTGTCTGAGAGGTGTGACTCTGAATGATTTAAATTCTCCTTACCCTGGTCAGATATCCAAAAAGGGAAAACTAAGGAAATACAAAATAGCAGAGTCCAAAGCGCTAATTGCATTTCCCTAGATGGCCAGGAGGGCGTTTAGGTTGCAATAAAATTTTAAATATTTGTTTCTAATTTTGACGTATTAGTCATCAAGCATGTGTGATGTGGAAATCATTGCAGTTTCTATAGAACTTAAATCCCCTGGTTCACGGGTCTGAAAATCACCTTCTGCCACTGTAGCTTGATCTCTGCTTCACCTTTCCCTGCTCTGTCCCTTGGGTCCCAGTCAAGAACATTCTTTTTCCGTTTCCTCCCAGGATCTCAGTCTCAGGAGGTCAGCTACCTACTCCTCTGGGTAATAGAAAACCTTATTCACACCCCTGCCTTACCTGCCTATTCATCAAATAGGAAGATAATAACCGTTCATGTTTATGAGATACTCGTCATGCACTTATTCAGGAACTATTTGTTAAACACCTAATCCTTGACAAGGCACTGTTTTGGGTCCTTGGGATCTACCAGTGATCTCTACAGAGATCAAGGCCCTCCATGGGCTTCCTTTCTAGCAGGTGAGAAGTACAAAAACACAACTCAAGTAAGTTTTTAATCTATTACAAGTTGATAAGTATTTGCAGGCAAAGTAGATCTGGGTAAGGTAATTTGGGAGTACAAGGGGTGGGTGGTCAGGCAGACCTCGTTAGGAAGGTGACATCTAAGCAAAGACTCAAAGGAGGTGAGGGAGCTAGGTTAGCAGATATTAGGGGAAGAGCATTCCAGATAGAACAGCCAGTGCAAAGGCCCTAGAGCAGGCGTGCGCCTGGGTCCCTAAGCAGGGAGGCTGGTACGAATAAGTTGAATGAAGAAGGACGAGACTGGCCGGGAGGAAGTAAGAGGCATAGCATGCAGGGCTTTTTTTCATCTTAAGGACCGAGGCTTCTAGTCTGAGTAAAATGAGGAGCCACTGCAGAGTCTTGACGAAAGGGCTAACATGATCTGACTTACCTTTTTGAAAAAAGCTGTATTGAAATATAACTCACATACCATACAATTTGCCCATTTAAAGTCTTTATTTGGTTTTTAGTATATTCACAGAGTTGTGTGAGCATCACCACACTCAATTTTAGAATATTTTCGCTCCTCCCCAAAGAAACCTCTACTCTTTAGCCATCGGCCTCCAATCTCCACCCCCCACTCCTAGCCCTAGGCAACCACTACTTTCTGTCTACAGATTTGCTTGTTCTGGACATTTCAGATAAATGGAGTCATACCATATGTGGCCTTTTATGTGGCTTGTTTCACTTAGCATAATATTTTCAAGACTCATCTACATTGTAGCATGTATCGATATTTCATTGCTTTTTATAGCTAAATAATATTCCATCGTATGATTATGCCATATTCTATTTATCCATTCACTTGTCAATGGACATTTGGGAGACTTTTCTAAGATTTATTATTATTTTTAAACAATTTAATAAATTTGTTTATTAAATTAGTTTTAAGTATACAGTACATTAATTTGACATCTATAATGTTCATAAAACAATTTCCCCAATTGCTCCCTCCCTCCCCTGGCCCTCCACTTAGCCATCATGTTAATACTAACGGCATTCCCTCTGCTGTGCTCCCCGTGCCCAACTATCAACTACTAAGTTGTACTTCTTTAACCTTTCACCCCTTTCTCCCAGCTTCCCAACCCCCCTCCGCTCTGTCCGTCACCAAGTTGTCCACCATATTTGTGAGTCTATTTTTCATCAGTTTGTTCTTTTTGTTTCTTAGATACCGTATATAAATGAAATCGCACGGTATTCATCTTTCTCTGTCTGACTTATTTCACTCAGCATAATAACCTCTAGGTCCATCCATGTCATTGCAAATGGTAGAATTTCATTTTTTTTTTTATGGCTGAGTAATATTCCATCGTATATATGAACTATAATTTCTTTATCCAATCATCTGTTGATGGGCATTTAGGTTGCTTCCGTATCTTGGCTATTGTAAATTGTGCTGCCACGAATATAGGGGTGCATAGATCTTTATGAATTATTGTTTTGGTTTTCTTTGGATAAATACCCAGAAGTGCAATCGCTGGGTCAAAAGGTATATCTATTTTTAATTTTTTGAGGACCCTCCATACTGTTTTTATAGCATAAGATTTCTTTTTAATTGTGGTAAAATACACAAAACATATAATTTACCATCTTATAAGCATTTTAAGTGTACAGTGTAGTAGTTAAGTATATTCACATTGTTGTGCAGCCAATCTCCAGAACTTTTTAATCTTGCAAAACTGAAACTCTATGCCCATCAAACAATAACTCCCCATTTTTCCTGCCTCCAACCCCTGTGAATTTGACTACGCTAAATATTTCATATAAGTGGAATGACACGATATTTGTCTTTTATGACTGGGTTATTTAGCACAATATTTTCAAGCTTCATCCATGTTGTAGTATGCATCAGAAATTCCTTTTTAAGGATGGATGATATTCCATTGTATGGTTATACCACATTTTGTTTATTCAAGCGCCACTGGGTGTCTTCCATCTGACGTCCATCGTGAATAATACTGCTGTGAGCAGTGAGTGTACAAATATCTCAAGACTCTGTTTTCAGTTCTTTTGGACAGATACCCAGAAGTGGAACTGCTAGAGCACACAGTGATTCTTTAATTTTCATGAGAACTATCATACTGTTCTCCACGGCGGCTGCACCATCTTACACTCACACCAACCATGCACCAAGATTCCAATTTCTCCACATCCTCACAAATGCATGCTATTTTGGTTTGTTTTTTTCTTTTTAGATAGTAAACATCCTAATGACTATGAGGTGACCGTTTATTGCGGGTTTGATTTGCATTGCCTTAATGATTAGTGGTGTTGAGCAATTTATTTTAAAATGCATCAGTTCATTTAATCTTCATAACAACCATCTTAATTGGTTATCCTTATTGCACAGACGACGGGAAAAGGTTTAGAGGGAGAGTAAGTTATTTGCCCACCATTTCCCAACCAATAATAGTGGAGTCAGGATCGGAACTACAGGACTCAGACTTCAGAGTCCACAATGCCCTATGGCACAGCGAAGAGCCATAATCTCCCTCGCCTCTACATATCTCCCTCTTCCGACTGCTCGCTTATAAGTCCAGAAAAGGGAACAGGTCCCTAGCTGTCACAAAGTTTCCACATCAGGATGCTGCTTGCTGCCTCCACTAGCGCTTCCTCTGACCACTGCTTTCTTGGGGGGTAGGGGGATAGGGGGCTGCTGCTTGTGAGGCTGCTCCCTCACAGGCGAGGTGTTTCCTTTCTGTAGGTGGGCCACCCCATCTCCCAAATCCCCGGGGAGGTAGACATCCCGAAATCCAAAGTTCTTAGCCACTCGCTCGCCCCCACCGCGCCCCCCACCCCCCGGCGTCTGTGCGCGAGACGCGAGCCGGATCCTTCGTGCAGGGATGAAGGAGCTGAATGTCCATCTCCAGGTCCTCCGCCCTTGGTGAACGGGGAGATGGAATTGCTCCGGAGAAGACTCCGCCGGCTGTGGTCCCCTCCGCCCCTTCCCCGCCCCCGCCTGCGAGCCCTCAGCCCCGCCCGCCACGACTCGAGACCGGGAATCCGAGCCGGTGCGCAGGTGCACTCTAACAAGTGTCCGCTGCCTGCGGGCCCGGCCGTCGGCAGCGGAGTCCGCCGCTATCCCGTCAGCCCGTCCTGGCAGGTCCCGCTCTCTCCCGCCGCAGTTGTCACGCCTCTTCTATCCCGTCCTGCTCTGCGGCTGAGGGGCAAGATGGCTGCCGAGAAACAGGTACCTGGAGGCGGCGGCAGCGGCGGCGGCGGGGGCAGCGGTGGCGGCGGACGCGGTGCCGGAGGAGAGGAGAATAAGGAAAACGAACGGCCATCCGCCGGATCGAAGGCAAACAAAGAATTCGGGGATAGCCTGAGTTTGGAGAGTATCCTGGAATAATAGGGCCTAACTCGCAATGATTACGTGTCGCTCTGGCGGGCCGGGGGCGGGAGAGGCAGCGGGTGTCCGCACGTCCTGGGCAGGAGAGGCCGAGGGTTGCAGTTTCTCTCGCGCTTTTGACACACTCAGAGCTTCAGGGTCTGTAGTTTGACCGGCCTTTACTCGCATCACCTTCGCCTTTCAGGGTGGGGAACGTCCTTTTTTTTCGGGCAGCACCGGGATATTGGGCAGATTTCTGCAGTTTTCCTGACAGTTGCCCGGTTGATGGGCTGGTGACGTGGAGGACAGCCTGGCCACCCCGGGGAGCTCCTGGCACCTTGAGCCACTAAACTGGGGAAAGGAAACAGCACTCCTGACGTCCTGGCTTAGTACTTTTGTCCGACAGCCCTTTGCTGTCGGAGAATGGGTAGTAAAATAACAATTTGATGTCTGGGAGTGAAGGCAAAGATTGACTGCTCCAAGGAAAAGCTTGTCGCTCCTTTGGAATATAAGTCATCGTAGCTTTTTAACATCGCATGTATAACTTTATAAATCTGTTGAGAGTTGTTCAGATGAACTGAAGGAATTGGTTTCTAGTTTTCATCAGTGTAGTCACAGTAGAGTGCTCATGACACTAGTGTGTGGCTTTTTGAAACGAAATAACAAATGGAGAAAATAGCCGAATTTCTGAAATAAAACGTTTAGCTTTAACATCTTAATGTCTTAAGTTTTCAGGGGATTGGAGTTTTTTACTTTTTGTACTGGTGGTATAGTTCTAAATGGATGTTAGAATGCCCTGATTTTACTACAGACCTTATAAACCCTGTCCCCTTTTAGTTATTGAAAGTCTTTTTAGTGTTCAGAATTTTAAAATACACCTATAGAGAAGCATTGAGGAAACTTTAAAACTAAAATTGTAGATAAAGGTCATTGGACTTCCTAAAGTTTGGTACATAATCTCAAAATATTTTAAGATTCTCCAAAAGGAGAGTTTGGTCAGGGCTCTTTCTTTTAAAAGAAAAACTTCAATATTTTAATGCGAACTATGGCCTAGTTTGGTTGACATGTGCTAACTGTAGGCTCATGCAGCATCACGGCTGTTAAGGAAAGTTAGATTTGACGGATGTAGGAGGTTATGCAAATGGAGGAGTGATATACTTATGACCTGTATCTGTCTGAGTGCAATACCTTTTCCAGGTGCGAATCAGTGGGAACCACCCGTTATAGTCAGTATTCAGAATCCAGCCGCTTTATTTAAGTTGTTAGGTTTCAGTAGCCTTAATGGCTGATACTGTTCTCTTTTTTTATTTTTAAAGTAGTAACAATTCAGGCAGTTGGCTTTTCCATACGCTTAACCATCCTAAAACAAGATAGCTATTGAAAGTGGTTACGAGAGGTTTCACTGGTTAAGCTATGTATTTCAGAAATATTTAATGTGCTGCGGTTTGATACAAATATAGACGACTGGGGACATGTTTTGATGTATTTGGATTCTTGCCATTGTAAGCTTTTCCTTAATCTTGGCTTTAGTTCTTCAGATTATTAAGGAATCCCAGCAGCAGCATGGCTTACGGCATGGAGATTTTCAGAGGTACAGGTTAGTATCATGTGCAAGATGTGTGGAAATCTTTCTGGAAATTTCAAACTTCGTTTGCCTCTTCATGTCCTACTTACTCTCCTGTATCAGAAAGTGAACTGAAGGCATCTAGCTCGGAACATATATCGAGTCCTCAAAAGCAACTTAATTTGCAAATTAAAATTTTTATGATGAATAAAAAGAGCGAACCTTTTTATCCATTTTGCCTCACAACGTTGCGGATACCTTGGAGGCTTCTGCTGAAATTAACAAGCAGTTAATGGTAATTGGGGTTTTTTTTAACTTAACTATATTGTAGACTCTTGGTAAAATGCAGAGCTTTTCAGTGTTTTAAACGTTATATAAGGGGAATTTCTGTCCTAATTTACTGGTAAACTTTTATAACAGCTGTCAAGTTGGAAAACAAATTTAACGTGACTCTTAAAAAATATAATAGATGCTTAATGTATAATATACAATTCAGTACTTTGAAGGCAACTATTTCTATATTGTAGATATAGGCTTTGACTACCTGATTTTTAGAAGTAACTGCTGAAACACTCTGCATTTCAGAGACTCAGGAGTCAGCCTTGCGGTGGAGGCGGCAGCACTGGGGCAGAGTGAACGAGATGGGCAATGGTGGGAATGAAGGGGGAGAAGCAGGCCGGGCCAGAATGTGCAGGACCCGTGGGCCAGGGAAGCGCACGCACATGTTCTGGGGGTGGGGAGGAAGCCACAAAAAGAGTTTTAAACAGAAGACCGTTGTGACTTGATTTTTTTTTTTTAATTATTAAGGAAATTTCCAAAAACAATTGTAGACACGATAGTATAACGAAACCATCACACATGTTATTATAGCGATTAACTTTCTGCTCTTTTCGTTACATCCGTTCCCTCCTTTTTAAAAAACATTTTATGGAAGGATTTTTTTTGTTTTTACCACTTTATTGAAGTATTACTGACATGCAACAAAGGGTACAGAAAGTGATCAATTTTTCACAACCTGTAACCAGCACCCAGATTAAAAGACAGAACATCACCAGCATCCCGGAAGTCTCCCTTTTGCTCCTTCTAATCACAAACCCGTCCCCCCCAAGGGTCACTGCAGTCATGATTTCTAACACCTTAGGTTAGGTTGGCTTATTTTTGAAATGTATCTGCACAGCATCACATCGTATGTACGCTTTCGTGAGTGCCTTCTTTCAACATTGTTTTAAATGCCATATTGTTTGGAGGTTTTAGTTCTTTAATTCCCATTACTACATGGTGTTCTCTTTTGTGAATATGTTGCATTTTATTTTCCTGTACTGTACTGTTGCTGGGCACTTGGCCAGTTTCCCGTTTGGGCTTTTAGAAATAATGCTGCCGTAAACATACTTATATATCTTGGTGGAGGGAAGTGTGCATTTCTATTTGATATATACCTGGGAGTGGAATACTATAGGATATGCTATGTTCAGCCTTCAGATAACGTATCGTCGAGCAGTTTTTCAAAATCATTGTGCCAGTTTGCACCGCTGCCAGTGTGTGAGAGCTGCAGTTGAGCGCATCCTTGCCAGCAGGGATATGGTCTGTGTGGCATGTTTTTGCCGAATTATTTTAGAGCCAAGTCTAGACATCATACTGTTTTACCCATCAATACTTGAGTTTGTGTCCAACAAAGAAGGCTTTTAAAAAAGTACAATGCTATTATCCCACCTAACCAAATCAGCAATAATTCTTTCATCTCATCTTATGTAATGATATTAAATAATATAAAAGTACTGTCTATTCAGTTTTTCCTAACTTTCTTTAAAATGTGTTTACATTTTTTTTTCCGTCTGAAATAATCTCAGACTTGCAGAAAATTTGCAGGTACACTACAAGTTACATTTTTTTCTCAACCATGGCAAGTAGCTTGCCTACTTAATGCTGGTTGCCGCAGAATAATGTGTGTTTTCCACAAACAAGGACATCTTAATAAATATATCCATATTGCCAGAAAATTCTTACCAATTTATATTCCATCCCATAATGTATGAGTGTTCCATTTGCTTTTTATATAAAAGGGTAAGTGATAAAGCAGAAGTTATGAATTGAGTTTCAGATTTTTTTCTTTGTTTTTCTTTTCAGACTACTTTTTAATAACCTGTGCCCTCGTAACTTTAAGGTGCTAAAGTATCATTTAAATATTTTGTATTGTAAATTATATTTGATTAAGGATTAGTAAAATTTTGTATGTATTTTTACTCTAATTTGGTCAAAATACATTTATTGAATATCTATATGCTAGGCACTGTGCTGAGACATTTGAAAGTAAAATCTCTTTGCTCTGAAGCAGTGTGTGTGAGTGTGATAGACATGTAAGAACATATTTGTAATGCCCTGTGCTATAGTACAAGTAAGAATAAAGAGCTTCATGAGCACGAAAGGGAGTCTTGGCATAAGAGGCCCCCGCTCAGTTTTTCAAAGCCCACCCTAAGTCCACTGCAGTGAAGTGTTGTTAACAAGAGGAGAAGGGTTACTCGTGTCCTTTACATTCAGTTTGACTTTTGCCTTGTTTTCTCGGTTGCCATTTTATCTGCATGATCCCAAAGTGCGGGTTCTTTGAGAATGCGTACCGTGTCTTCTGTCTCTTGTTACCAGTCGTACTGCCCTGCATGCTTTAGGTCAGTGAATGTTTGCAGGATGATGTAACCCTCAGAAGAACACCTCAGACCTTTGACCTTATTAGACAATTTGCTGTTGAAAGGACTGTCATCTCGGCTGAACGATTTTTGCTTATGGTCTCTTACAGGGGCTACTGTTCCCGCAGACAGAGACGGCTCCGGAAAACGCTTAACTTTAAGATGGGGAACAGACACAAATTCACAGGGAAAAAAGTAACCGAAGATCTTCTGACCGATAACAGGTACTGACGGCTCAGCGCTAGGTGCTAAATACTTTTTGCTAATACATTTATTGAATAATTATAATGTGCCAGACATTTTGCCAAACTCTTTATCTCATGTGACTCTTTTAGCAGCTCTGTGGAGTGAACATTTTTACTATTTCTGTATTACAAGATGAGGAAACTAAGGCTCAAAGAGGCTCAATAGTTTGTTCAAGAACTGTGGGGTGGTGAATGTTAAAGTCAGCGATTAGAATTTAATCAGTTATTGGGTAAGGTTTCTAGAATGCAGATTTCAATGTCTATAAGTGCTTACTTAAATCAGTATATCTTACGTGAAATCTGGCTGTGTGTAAATTATTCTAGAAGAGTGCTGTGTTTCAGTGCCGAGTGTTGCCGTGCTTCATGTTAGCGGAGGGGTTAATCTGTCCAGCAACACGCATAGAACAGCTCTAGGTCAGTTCCTCAAACCGCGGCCTGTGGGCCAATTTGGTCCTCCTACCACTTGTTTTTGTAAGTTAAGTTCTTCCGGTGCGTGGCCATTCCTCTAGGTGTTGTTTACAGCTGCTTTTGTGCTGTGATAGCAGTAATGGCGACAGAGAGCATAGATTCTGCAAAGTCTGAAATATTTACTATTGGGCCCTTTACAAAAAATGTTTGCTGTTCCCCAGTCTCATTTGTGGCCAGGACTGAGTATAGAAGGCTTGGGGAGGTGTGGATCTTGAACCTCGTTGATGGTGATCTTGTTGAGAGATGTTGGTCAAGTACAAAACGGAGCACTATGAGATAGTGAAACTGCCATGTCGTGTGCCATTTATTCTTAATAATTCCGAAATCTTGGAAGGGAGAGTTGAGTTTGGGGGTTCTTGATAGGGAAGCCAGGAGGCCTGCATGGAGGAGGCCAGACTGCGAAGGATTTGTGAGAGGAAAGAACATTCTGTGTCAAGGGAAACATCATGCCATGGTGTCCGTGAATGCACTCCAGGAACTGTCCTCCTCTGGACAGTTGTTACCCTCTGCTCAGGCAGTGAAGAGGCTGGGAGCTCGCGGTGTGGAGACAGTCGGCACCTAGAGCACAGAGACCACGACGAGACGGGGCAGGAAGTGTTGATTAAATCCGATGCGATTGCGTTACAAAGAGTCTCTTATGATAGCAGGACCCTTTATTTTGGAAAGATGAGATTAAGCTGACATTTTTAAGAAGATTCGTCAAGGCAGTAGTTTAAACAAAGATTCACGTAGTAGTAATAAAGTAGCTAACTTATTTAGCACTGAGTAAGTGCCAAGCTCTGGTCTTAAGCGTGTTATGTGTATTACTGCATGGGAGAGTGAGACACAGAAAGGTTAGTACTTTGCCCAGAGTCACACAGCTACTGAGTGATGATGGCACTGAGATTCCAACCCAGACTCTAGAGCCTTCTTCTTAACCACTTCAGTATATTGCCGCTTAAGGCCTGGGTTTCTAACTGGGTGGGGATGAAGGAGGTGTTAATTCAAAGATGAGGCCAGACCTCATGGACTAACTCTGTTTGCTAAAATTGGGAGGGGTCAGTCAGGTTTGCCAGGTTCGAGGTGGAACAGGCTTTTCAATGACATGTGTCTGGTGGGCGGTTAAAACCTGATGCGCAGCCTGAGTCAGGATCAGAGATGTGGATTTGGGATCTTGGTTGATGCCACAGGAAGAATAGCTAGGAAGAGAGCCAGGGAGCTATGGGGAGAAGTCGAGAGGCCGGAGCTGGTGCTATGAATGCCTGAGTCTCATGCTACTGGCCTTTATCGTTCAGCTTGCTCCTCCTCTCTGGTTTAGATATTTGCTTCTGGTTCTGATGGATGCTGAAAGAGCCTGGAGCTATGCCATGCAGCTCAAACAGGAAGCCAACACTGAACCCCGAAAACGGTTCCACCTGTTGTCTCGCCTGCGGAAAGCTGTGAAGCATGCCGAGGAATTGGAACGCTTATGCGAGAGCAATCGCGTGGACGCCAAGACCAAGCTAGAGGCTCAGGTTAGGGTCTTAACATCAGCCTCGCTTTATCTAGGGATTAGAGACGTGACCTTGAAACGATACAGTTAAACAGAACAGAGTTTCTGATGTGGGAGAAGAAAAATCCTGCACTTGCTTTTTCAAGGTGAAGTTGGCCTCTGCTTTTTGAGCTCTTGTTTTTTAATAATCAGCTCTCACTTTTAAGGAAAGCTCATGTTTCTTTTAATACATAGAAAGCTTGCATCTTTTTTTTGAGGCAAGGCAACCCTTGGTTGACCTCACAGATTGCAAGGACCTTGTCAGCTTACAATCCCTTTTTTTTTTAACGCCTACAGCGCTTGGTCTTCCTAGGTGGTCTCCCATCCAAGTACTCACCAGGCCCGACCCTGCTTAGCTTCCGAGATCAGACGGGATTGGGCTTGTTCAGGGTGGCATGGCCGTAGACAGCTTGCATCTTATATCTAGGAGAGTTCACAGAATAATTTTTTTCATGAATTTTTAAAAAGAGATATTGCAAGTGTATATTCAACTCTTGATACTTACATTATAGCCCCAAAGCTGGTTGTTAAGTCAAATGAAGGAAATAAATTTCCTTTTTTTGAAGTTCTCTCCCGGGAGGTAAATGAATCATAACAAGTTCCCTGTGTGTCACATTTTATTAGTGAAAAGTTTCTCTCCTTAAAATCAACCTGCATGTCTGTGTTCTTGATATCCAAGTTCAAAGCAAATAGAAGAGATGGAGCTGTAACCCTCGTTCTCGGGGGCTGAAGCAGTTTCTCTTTTCCTGTCGCCCTCCAGGCTTACACAGCTTACAAAAAAAAAAGAACATCAAGAGTGGAAAGCTGCCATTGAGGCTTTTAATAAATGCAAGTAAGTTTTCCATTCTAAAGGCTTTGGCCGGTTTTGATTCTAGATAACGTTCAAGCTGCAGATCAACCGACGGTTGTTTCAGTGAAAGTACAGTTTCCTTTTTTTTCTTCCTGGTAGGAATGTTGATTATTCCCTTTCATCCTAAGAACATACCAGTTCTGGTAGCTGGTGGAGGGCCTCAAAGTTCCTTATTTTGTTTTTAGCCACTGTGTTCCTTGTGAGTCCATTTTCTTAAGGCTGCTCTGAAACCTGATGGTTCTTTCCTCACAGAACGATCTACGAGAAGCTCGCCAGTGCTTTTACAGAAGAGCAGGCCGTGCTGTACAGCCAGCGTGTGGAGGAGATCTCGCCCAACATCCGCTACTGCGCGTATAACATTGGTGAGCAGGGACTGCCTGAAGCGTCGTCGGGTTGCTGGTGGTGGTCCACCTTAGAGAGCCTAGAGAATTATGTGACTTTCTGCCCTTTCCCTTGCATCCATCCTTGACATGGGTTTTGGTTAATGGAAAAGGTAGAACTGTCGAAGTCAGCCCTGTTCCACACCACAGAAGGCATTTCCTTTGCTGCTGTTCCCATCATGCCGTCTTCTGTACCCCCCGCAAGCTTTGTACAAGGGCTGGGGTCCACCGCAGCGTCTGTGGAGGGCGGAGCTCTTTCAAGTCCCAGGGTGAACCTAGTAGTTCTTGAGAGAGCAGACCAGACCCTAGAGAATTTACCACTCATTCTTCCTCTCTCTTTCTCAGGGGACCAGTCAGCCATCAATGAACTCATGCAGATGAGATTGAGGTCTGGGGGCACCGAGGGTCTCCTGGCTGAAAAATTGGAGGTAATCTCGTATGTACATTTTGTGAAAAGTCTTTGGTTTGAAAAAGTCCAGAAAAAGAAGTAATCCACCCAATATAGTTGCTATGAGTATGTGCATATTTATATCTATGTCTGTATTTTTAACGAAAAACTTTTCATTTAGTATTATTTAACTTTTTTTCCCCATGTTACATTTATTTTCTAAGTAACATAGCCTCATAGAAAAAATAGGAAATACAAAAGGTGGAGGAAAAATAGAATCATATGGATTATCACCCAGAGGTAACCACTATTAATGTGATGCCTGTCTTGCAGACTTTTGTACGTGTTGGGAAAGAAGGCATATATTTTTAAAACGAGGTCTCATTATGCACTGTTTAGTAACATTCTTTTAAACTGTAATGTCACATGCAGTTTTTCCACTTCAGTAAATACATTTCCACATCGTTGACTTTCGATGGCTGCGTGGACTCCATTGAAGTCTGTTTTATTCGATCACTTCACTATTACTGATTAAATGGTAAACAATATTCCCGTGAGTACCTGTGTCCCCAGTTTTTGTACACATTCTTAGTTATCTCCTTAGGACAAATTCCTAACAGTGGAATTTCTGCCTGTGATGTATATAGATATACTTTTCTTTTTACATCCTTACCAAAACTAGTGTTGGCCTTTTTAACCTTCTATTATGTCCTTTTAAGATTTGAGTTTCTTTAAGCTAGGATGTGTTATGCCAAGGAGGAACTTAAATATAAATTTGTGTGTACTCTGTAAAACGTTAATATGTTGGTTATAGAAGAGACATAATTTCCACTCATTTTACCATGGTCACTCATATCCACAGTTAAAACTTGGCTGACTTTTTAAAACTGTTTTCCAGGCATTGATCACTCAGACTCGAGCCAAACAGGCAGCGACCATGAGCGAAGTGGAGTGGAGAGGGAGAGCGGTCCCGGTGAAGATCGACAGAGTGCGGATCTTTTTGTTGGGGTTGGCCGATAACGAAGCAGCCATTGCCCAGGTGAGGAGGAAGCACCTGCTCTGTCTTCTGCATGTGTCTGAAGGTGGTTCTTGTTTAAGAGGTAGTATTTCGTTGATGTTCATTTAAAACAAAAATGTATCTTAATATTGTTGGGGGTTGATGCACTCTCTTGAACAAAATTATTTTAAAAGCTGAGTTTGTAGAAGAGTTCTGATGTTTAAGGGCAAAGAAGTTGACAGGGACAGCCATCAACATAAAAATGGGGGCAACAAGCGGCTAGCATAAGGTAAAGGGTACTTTGCAGCCCAGCGGGTGCTGCAGCAGCTTAACTGTCTTGTCCCTCATGTGCCTCTGGCCTCTTGTCTTAGCCACCTCTTGTTCTTGGCCTTTTAAGGAGAGCCTAGCTAATCCAGAATACATCATTTGACGTGCAGTATGTGTGTAATATCCACGCAGAGCTGTACTGTTTGATGCTGACTGACATAATCGTCGCCTGTTTGTAGCTGTGAACGGAGTTCCAAAGGATGAGAAGTCCTGGTGGTCTGGGTTTGTATGGAGTAGACAGTGATTAAGACACTTTAGAACTGCTCCATATGAGTATAAGAGCATCTAAAAAGCCAAGCTGCTGAGTGTGTCTACAGCCTCTCCAGAGACCAGTGGTGTTTCATGAGAATCCTCAGTAAGCCGTTGCACCTTGAGTAATTTGCATTTAGGGATGCTTTGTTAGTTGTGCTGATGAGTTGTTTTCAGCATCCAAACTTTCAACGACTTGTTCCAAATAGCTATTTTGAGTTGGGGGCAGCTTTTAACAGTTGAATTTCTTTGTGCCTTTGCTCTGTTGCGTACTGCCCCTCTCATTTCCCTTTTATTTGTTTAAAGTACAGACGACTAGAATAATGCCAGAAAGTCGATTTTTTTCCCCCTTTAAAAGGCTGAGAAACTTTTGAGCTCATTTCATTGGCGCTATAGTATGGCAGTATCTCCTCTGGACTAGGGCTGTGGTGGCAGCCATTTAGATTATGTGATCGGGTTATTTTTTTGGTTTTAAAATGATACATGCTGGAAGATGAGAGCTGCCTTCAGTGACAGTGAGGCAGGAATTCCGGCTAGAATAGGGGTGGTGAGGAGGCCCACAGGGGCAGATGAAATGGGGCATCTTGGGGATGGGGCCATAGACATCAGATAAAGGACAGAAAAAGCTAATATTTATTAAGTTTTAAAAGTTATTCAGCTGACAGTTTAGAAAATATGAATGCTTGTAAGAGATCAACCTGTAGTCCCACTTCCCATATGCCTTCGTTGATACTGCCTTGTCCTGAAAAGGAAAACAGTGTATTTCCTTTTAGGCTTTTTTGTATTCATGAGATGTTTTGTATGTTTTACTTGTTAGAATTATACTGAGATGTGATTTTGTAATCTATTTATATTAACGTATTTGTAAGTATTTTTCATGTTCTTCCATATCATTTCACAAAACTTTTTAAATACCTGGTGGTCACCTGGACAGAGATACTACAGACATGAGCAAAAGAGGGCAATGATCCCCTTTAATGTCCCTCCCAGATACGCTGCTTTTATGTTTTTATCTTTTTAACCCTGTAGGGTGGGTGACACTCATTTTACAGGTGGGAAACTGGTCTCAGAGACTGTTTAACTGGCCCACAGCCATGTACCAGATGGAAGGCAATGCTTACATTCAAAACCAAGCCCTTGTACCCAGAGCTCATGTTTCTCGAACTTTTCCACGTATTCTATTAGATTCAACAGGAAGGGCTATGACGGGGTCATTTTATTTGGCTTTGATAAATAGCTAAACATAATTTCACTTAATAAAGTATACTGGCAGAGTCCTGAGGCCCTGATAGAGACTTAACTAAGCAGAAACTTAATTGAAACAAATAGTCCTTGGCAACCAGTTATTTTCAAAAGGATCACTCTCAAACTTGAGTTTTAGTATAGTTAAAAGGTTGACTTCTGGATACCAGGGTCATAGCCACCCCTTCTAAGGCAGTTCAAGAATGGCCAGAATTTTGTTAATATTGGCAAGAAAAAACTGACATTATTCCAACCTTGACTAGATAAAAAATACAGTCTGTCAGCTCAGCACGACTGCTGCGAGGTCTGTGTTTTCACCTCATCTGCAGCGTGCGTGTTGATACAGTTAAACGTGTTCCAATTAATAGCTGTCTCTAACACACACAGAGAATGGCAGGTGTACTTATGAAAATGCCATTTAATCCAAGCACATCTATTATCGGGCATTTGCATTTCATACAGTTTTTAAGCACTGTAAACAGTGATCAGTGAATCTTTATATGTGGATTTTTCCATATTTTGGGTTACTGTTGTAGAATAAATGAGAATACCACGTAGATTGAAAAATATATGTAGATTTCTTTTTGATTGAATAAAGTTATTTAGATTAAGAATTTTCAATCTCTAATGCAAAAGATGTTTATTTTAAAGCTTTTGTTTATTATTAAGCACCTGCCCAGAAAAGTCAGGTAGAGGGAGAGCAAAAGAATCTCAATGTATTTGATAGTTTGGGATTTTTCCTCATGTGCTGTGTTTTGTAGCAGTATTTAAAGGCCTTATTAAGACGAAAACAATTCTTCAATAAACAGCTCTTTGGAATAACGTAAAAGCTCAATAATGAAGGTGATGCTGTTTTGTGTTGCAATCACATTTTCTAAAGCTCTCCAACATCCATTTAAACCCATTATCCTTCCTGTATTACTTTGTTTCAGTTATTAAGTTAAAAAACTTAAAAGTGCTTCTGCACGAAAGGGGTAGAGCCCTTCCCACTGGACATGGTTTACGCAGGGACATGGTTTACCCAGGTACCTGGAGAGATGGGCCAAGATTTTATGTTGAGGGGAAGATAGGATCAGTAGCCAAGGTTTCCTGCCCCAGCTGCTGCAGGCTTTCACTGCTAAACGTAGCTGCTCCTCGGTCACATTTGTCATTAGGAAACCTATTGTAAGGCTTTTCCTAAAGTATCAGTGAAACTTGCGATGTGCAGATACAGTAGGAATGTTGTATGGGGTTTTCATTGTTCTTCCACAAGATACAGTGGAGGGTTTGAAAGGTGTATGAAACCAAGAGTGGAAGGAACCGTACAAGGACAATTTCAAATCTTTCAGTCTAGGAAGATAAAAGGCTGAGGAGGGAAGAATCTTCGGAGCCTGTTAACATAATAGGTTACGTTGGTGAGTTTTCGTGTTAAGCCAACACTATATCTGGGGTAACCCCGCTTGGTTACGATATGTTGTGCTTTATATGTATTGCTGGATTTGATTTGTTAATGCTTTAAGAATTTTGCGTCTGTTTTCATGAGGAATAGTGGCCTATAATTTTCTTTTCTTGCAATGTCTTTCAAGGTTTACTTTCAGGGTTATGCACACATCATAAAACAAGTTTGGAGATGTTCCTCCTCTGTTTATGTAATGTCTGTATTTTTCTTTCCTTAAATGTTTATTGTAATTCACCAGTGAAATTATTGGGACTGGAGTTTCCTTTGTGTGAAAGTTTTTTGATATGTCAGTTTCAGGTGTACAACATAATATTTGTGGGAAGATTTTTAAAATTTGTTTTTGCTTGTTTTAAGCAAGTATAATTCCTTTATAACTTATAATGCTATTCAATTTTCTGTTTTTTTTTGTGTCAGTTTGAATGAATTTTATTTTAAAAAGGAATTTATTAGTTTTATGTAAATTGTTGAATTTATCGACATAAGTTTATGATATTACTTTATCATTTTAATGTTTATAGGATCTATAGATCTCCTGTTAAGTGCCTGGTTAATGTGCTAGTTGCAGTAAATATAAATTATTTCTGGTTTTCGATGAATTTATAATATATTAGGTTTACTTCTGAGTATCAGAGATCTTTAAATTACACAGTAGAAGTAAAAGATGTCGATCAAACAAAATATGTATGAATTCCAGGAAGTCCTCGTAGGGTTTTAACCTACAAAACAATTTAGTCTGTAATGTCCTATCATACGTATACCAAATCTAGCTAGTAAATAAAATAAGTACAATGTTAAAGTTTACTTAAATCCTTAGAAGTCAGGTCTGGCATTGTAGCTGTCAAATGTCTATTGAAGTGAGTGACCCATGGGTTATTAAGTATGGAAGATACCCTTCAGCCATTTGAGATTAGTTCCAAGAAGAACCACTTGCCCCAAGTGCCACTGTCAGATGACCCCGCTCACTCCACCGTGGGCCTCACTCAGCTTTCCAGTTCCCGTTGTGCTGAGTTCTCTGCCCTGGAATCCAGGAGCTTTGCCTTAGAGACACAAGGCTTCTCATGTCGCTGCCCTGCCAGTTATGGGATATTTGTCATCCTCTAGGAGGTGGGATGCAAAAATTTGGTAGCCCCAGCTTATTGCTTGTTTGTCAAGGGTTTTATGACTTTCAATATTGAAACAGCAGTTTACTGAAAAGCATGGAATGAAGAAATAATTCAGGGAGATAAAACATTAGACTGAAAAGACTAGAGCTGAGAATGAATCGGCTGCCAAAATCCAGTTGCAAAATCCTTAGTCTCGTCAGGCAAGCTTTCAATCTTCATGTCTTTACGTTGTCTTCCTTTATAATTTATTTCTATTTTGCTTTTATTAATACTTGGTCACCCCTAAATTGTCACTGGTTGCTTTGTGAGGATGTTGTTTTGCAGCTCTTTTGGAAGGGGGTAGACAGGTTTAAAAATATCTGGAGGTTTGATCATTCTTATCCTCGACTTACGGTTAATATTTTAATGTTTGAGTGGAAAGGAGACCATTTATCCTTCTCGCTTTAAAAAAATCTGTTCTTAAGAAGCGAAGCTTGTATGCCCCTTTACCAGTTACCAGGTTTCCGCATGTGTTTTTCTAGACCTCAGCGGGCTGGGCGAGGCTTGGTTCACATCGCCTGGTCCTCCTCTGGGTGTGGTGGAGAATGTGGTCAGACTCGCCTTGTTTGTCTCCTTAGTCACACCACCGTCTTCCAACAGTTTTTGCAGACAAGCGAAAACAATCTGGAATCTCTGTTTTTCATAGCTGGGGGTCTCGACCTCAGGACATGCAGCAGCTGATTGTTCTCTGTACCCGTCAGCCTTGAGATGTGGCCTAAGCCCACATCCTGGGATGTTTGAACTTTTATAAAAACTACAGTTCTTAGGCGGGGATCTTGCTGCTTGGGTTGGAGGCGCTTTCCGTGTTGGCGACGTGGGGGGCAGACTGCGAGTCGGTGCTGGGGCATCCCACCTCTTGTTCCATTGTCCTTACAGGAGTTACAGAGTTACAGAGGGTGCTGCACGGTATCACCTAGCGCGGGAGCTCATCCTGCCTGCTCACGACGTGTGTGTGCACGGTTGGTGCCAAGCGTTTTCATGCGTCTTATTCCAGTTGTGAAACCGAAATGGCTGCCCCGTCCCGTGCGATTTGTACTTTGAGAAATTGGCCAGCAAGTTTGCGTAAGCTATTATGAAGGATCTTGCTAACTTGAGGTGCTTAACAGTGTCTTGCGTGAAGTGTGTTTCTCTAGAGCCACACTGTCCAGTAATAGTAGCCACTTGAACACATGGCTAAAGTTAAATTAATTAGAATTTCCAAGTGCTCGGGAGCCACATGGAGCTCATGGCCGCTCTGGGCAGTGCAGGTAGAGAGCGTTTCTGTCATCACAGAACGCTCCACTGGGCCGCGCTGCTCGAGGTTTCACGGAGCTGATGGTGGCCATGTTTGCCTTTGTAGACTTGTAGAATGACTGTGTCCCTGATTTGTTCCTAAGTTAGGGAACAAGAAAGTCAAGTGACTTATAAATAGAAAAGCATGTTTGATTTACATTGTGTAATTCACAAGGAAGTTTTTTTCCCCACACTGAAAACTAGGAAAAACATAAGAGTTCTTAAGAGAAAAAAGGTTTTTCTTTAAACCTCTACCGGCCGTCTCTGAAAGGAGTGGGCAGTACTGGGTTTGCCTTTGGACTTTCTCAGGGGTCAGTTGAGTGTCAAGAGATCAGGTTGGATATTGGTTTCTGTGGAGAGTCAGGTGTAATAAATGTCACAGCGAGCCTGCCGGTAACTCAGGTCCATCTCCTTTCTGCCTTTTGTCCATGCCCACCTGTGCAGTCAGATTCTTTAGGATGATAACGTGGTATGGCAGGTAGTCAGTTAATGAGTCACCTTTCCTTTATCCCAGCTGGCCCGCCGAGGGCGACGCCCTGTGCTTGTGCAAAGGCTGTCACTGAGTGCTCGTCAACCTTGTCTGCCCTAAATATGTTCTCAGCGGAGCCATGCAGAATATCTGAGTGCAGGATGTCTGTGGTGAAGAGAACCTGGGATGATATTTAGGAGAACGTATTTCTGATTGGGCATTGATCAGAGGTGGTCCTTGTAGCTCCAAGTCTATCGGGGCACGTTTGTAGGGTGATTCGCTGGCATACAGTAGGATTTAAGACAGTTTGTTCCAGAGGGAAAAAGGAAAAGAAGCTTCTGGGGAGCTGTGTTTCAGCGTGGGGTAGCAGCGCCCCAGATCCAGTCTGCGAGGCCCCTCTAAGGGTGCCGGGGCAGGTCCTGAGCACAGGTAGAGGCTTCGGAGGAAAACAGTAGGCAGTTCTCTGATAGGGAAAATTTTGAAGCATCAATTACCTGACAGTTTTAGACAGTTATACAGACATTTTTTCAGTATGTTCACTTTATTTGCACACATAGAAAATTCCCATTTCTATACAAATAATGAATAAGACTACAAGGAACATCTTACCTGGTGGAGAATAGTAACGATGGAAATGATCTGATTCAGGGCACGTTTTGGTCGGTTGGGTGAATTATAATGGGGGGAATCAGAGCACCGTTAGGCCTTTCTCCCATCAGAATACTGCAGCTTACTCTGAAGAAGTTTTTACTGCATTCTGCCTGTGTTTAGGCTGAGAGCGAAGAAACCAAGGAACGTCTGTTTGAGTCTGTGCTCAGCGAGTGTCGGGACGCCATCCAGGCCGTGCGGGAGGAGCTCAAGCCCGATCAGGTAGGACCATCAGCTCAGCCGCCAGCTCTTGCTCTGGGCTGAGGTCCTGGGTCTGTGTGTGTCATTCCCGGGTGGGATCCCCGTGGTCCGAGTGCATTCACTCTTAGCCACTGTTATTTTTAGGTGTGGTGATTGGCTAACAAACAGCAAAAGCCTCTGGGCTCCATCAGGTTGAGAAATTCTCTTCTCTCTGTCCTGTTTTTCCAAATGGTTTCCCATGTTACCTGTTAAGCCTTTGGTCTGAAATTTCATACCTCCAGGTACACTCCTTCAGGGCTCCCTTTTTCTAATAAAATCACCGTGATTCACTTAGGCATTTGGGCTTGAAAGCCTCAGAACCATTTTTGCCTCTTTCTTTCCTTCACCACTCTGTTCTCCCTTTGTCATTTCTCTCGCCGCTTGTCCACGCCTCCTGTTGTCATTAGTTAGCCTTTTACTTGATGCCTGGACTCATTCACAGCCTCCTGCTGGCTTGTCCTAACCTTGGTCTTGGTTCAGTTCTCCAGGAACACAGATTGAATCTTGCTAGGTCTCATCGCACTGTCTGATTATGAAAAGCCCAGTGATTCCTCTGGGTCTAGAGCAGTGGCCTCCAAACTTCTGTGATAATGCACCCCCATAAGTGAAACTGAACATTTACCTCTGATGTGTTTATTTGTAAATTATGTACCTTATTACTCAGCTGATTTGTGATATATAAAATACATTAAAATAAAGTTTTTAGAAATGAGGTTAACATAAATAGAAGTTCTGTTTTTCTCCGTACACTCACGCTCTGGGTTATGTGCACCCCACTTTAGAGACCACTGGTCTAGCAGATACAGTTCAGACTCCTTGAGCTGGCGTACTGGCCTTCCCCGTCTGCGTCCTGCCTCCGTTCCCAGCTCTGCACTTGCTCTCCTGAGTCCTCCGCCTCGAGCTGTTGTCCTCACCGTCTTGATGTGCCTTTCTCACTCCGTGCATTCCTCACACCGTTCTCCTTGCCCTCACACCTGGCTTACCCTTTCTCTCCCTTGTCACCAGCCCATACCTTACCTGTTTTGCAAGGTCCAGCAGCTCACAGCTCACCATCCCTGAGAAACCGACTACCCATCCTCCCCCACAGAGATCTCTCCATTTTCTAAATAACTCATACTTGCAGCCAAAATTTTTGTTTGGTGGTTAAGAATTGTCTTAACATTTTGTGTATTGTTTTATGTATACTTTTTTATTATATTTTCAAGATTATAAGCACCTTAAAAGCAACAATATGTTTTCCTCAGCATCTGCCATAGTACCTTGGGTATAAAATGTTCAATAAATATTTGTTAGGCTATAGTCACCTGTTGCCTTTTCCCATTAAGTTGCCTTTGTATGTTAGAGTTCCCTTCACCCACTTAGCAGGTACATGCAGAGCCCCAGTCTCCATCATTCACCTTGAATGCATAGCAGTTGGGGGGACACCTCACCGAATGTGGTGATACGAGGGTGTATTAGTTTCCTGTTGCTTCTGTAACATTACAACAGACTTAGTGGCTTTAACACAAATTTATTAACAGTTCTGGCAGTTGGAAGTCTAATGGGTTCCCAGGACTGCCTTCCTTTTGGAAGCTCAAGGGGAGCCTGGGGAGAAGTCACTGCTAGTGTTCCAGAGAATGCATTTTCTGGCTTCTAGAAGCCACCTACATTTCTTGGCTCATGGCCCCTTCCTCCATCTTCACAGCCAGCAGCATACCATCTTCTCTTCTCTCGGAGCTCTGCTTCAGCCTCTGTCTCTGACTCTCCTGTCTCCCTCTTCTGAGGAGCCTGCGATTAGCCTACCGGATAATCTAGGCTAAACCAAAGACCCTTAGCTTTGCCACATTTGCAGGGTCTCTTACCGTGTATGAGGACAGCTTCACAGGTTTCAGAGCTTTGATGTGGACGTCTTTGGGGGCTATTGTTCAGCCAACCACAGAAGGCAGGAGCTGACAGCGGAAGGGTGCAGCTTGGATCTGAAGCACAGACCCCAGAGTGGCTCCGCGGACTGTTCGCGCTGTTTGTGCTTTGGGCCTGGCCACTGGGAACAGGAGCAGTGGCCAGGAGGCCTTACTGGCCGTCACTCTGAACTTTCTTACTCAGTCCAGTTTTTGGGTGCCAGTGACAGCCGAGTGACCCTGTCATTCTAGAATACGTCCAGTAGATCTTTGCTACCTGGGTACCCCTTCCAGGGCGCTGCTGGGCAAGGCTATTGGAGCCAAGGGCAGAGTCAGCTATTTTATCTTTACCTTTTTCACTGTGCAGAAGCAGAGAGATTACACCCTCGAGGGAGAGTCGGGGAAGGTGTCTAATCTTCAGTACCTGCACAGGTAAGTGTTGTGAATATTTTGCTTTTTTAAACGTTCTGAAATATATCATTGGAACAAGAGCACGTGTAATGTTTGCGTATATTTTAATGTATGTACTAAAGTGTACTAATATGTCTGTACACATTTTATCACATAAGAGTGTACATACTGCATTTGGGGATTTTGACACACATAATTTAAAGTTCTTATACCACATGAGAACTGGAGTACAACCAGTGGCTTTGAAGCTCCCCGCCTTGGTCGATTCCCCGTCCTCTAGAGCTAAGCTGTCCCTGGCAAGCTCCTGAAATTCTCCTCTGAGTTCTGAATGTTTTACGTTGTCTCTTTAGCATTTAAGTTCAATTTAAACTTGAGTTGAGTTCCAGCTGAAGTTTATTTTTGAGCGAGGTCAGGCTCCTCACCTTTTCCTGTGAGGATAATGTGTTGTTCCAGTACCGTTTACTGACCGTTCCGTCCTTGCCCCACGAATCCGCAGTGCCAGCTCCGTCGGTCGTGCATCCCGTTTCCTCCCGCCTGCTCTTTCTCTGTTCTGGATGCTTCTGCGCTGCAGGTTTGTCTGCGCGTGAACCAGCACAGTGATCTGCGACCCTTTTACAAGAAGTCGTGCTGTCTGGTAGAGAGGTTCACCCCACCGGGGTTTTCCTCGGGCATGCCTTGACTGCTTTTGCCCCTTTGCTCTTTCACAGACATTTCTAAATCACTTTGTCAAGTTTAATTTGTTTTTTAAAGAGTGGATCATTTGTTTCACAGAAGAAAGAAGGAAGGAAGAGTGACATTTTGACAGCTTCTTGAGGAGAAATAAGATCAGTTGGGAAAATTACTTCTCATCGGGTTCTCTCCTCCATGTGACCTTGAATTTTAATTTTTTAGTCACTGCTTGTAACTTTTTAGTGAACCTGGCAATGTTTTTAGCCATCTTCCTGCTCCCTCCCTTTTTGTAAAAGGAAAACCACAAAAACTCCTTTCTTTACCTTAATCTCTATTCTTAGGGAATTTGATATTATGCGAACATCGAATTGCCCAATGACTCAGATGGAGTATTGAGCAGAAAAGGCCCTGAGATGCCCCTTATTTCACCAGCCCTGTGAGGATAAGATAGGCTCCAGGAGGTTAAGGGGTGTGACTGTGGTTCACAGTGACACAGTCAGGAGTTGGCCCAACTTCCTAGCCCTGAGAAGACCTGAGAGCATTGGGCTCTAGGAGGTTAAGGGGTGTGACTGTGGTTCACAGTCACAGAAAGTCAGGAGTTGACCCAACTTCCTAGCCCTGAGAAGACCTGAGAGCATCAGCGAGGCTCAGAACTTTCAGACTGTGCGCCCACTTGCCCTTGGGTCCGTCCTGTACCATCAGACCTAGCAAATGTCAGGATCTTGGATTTCAGTTAGGATCCCGAGGCCTCCTTTGGCGAATCCGGAATTGGTAGCTCTTGTATTTCAACAAAATGTAAAGGTGCATGTAAATCTCTATACCACTTGTGACTAATAGCTGCTTTGTTTTGAGAGTCTGATTATTCTTCAGAGCTTTAAGAAAGTCCGCCTCGTGACATCCTCCCATTTCTCAGCAGCAGCCACTTTTAATTCTTTTAACAGACTTTTCATTATTTACCTTCATGTCCCTAAATGGCACGTGTGTTGCCAGTTGATGTTTTGGATTTAGGCATTTTGTGCTACTTTCCACAGCAGCCCCCTCCCGCCTGCTCCGCTCTCCGCCCTGACCCTTTTCTCTCTCCCATCCAGCTCTTCCGTGGGCTTTCTCATTTCCGATGCCATTTTCATTTCTAAGAGTTTATTTGTGTTCTTCGCATATTATTTGAAAAACGCAGCATCTCATTCTAATGTCATGATCACAAAGACTTCTCTTATCTCTCTGGGGTTATTAATAATAGTTTTCTGAAGCTTTCCTCTCCCTGCAAAGTCTGGTTCTTCCAAGTTGCTTTTTTCCCCCCTCTCAGTTTTGGCCGCTTCTGTCTTGTTAGAGTTTTTCCTTAAATGTCTAGTGACCCGGAGTTTTTCTTGGGGTGGTCAGACCCCCAGGATACACTAGGCTGCGCTTGTTCTGGAGGCCGAGTGGAAGGAGAAGGCCAGGAGGTCAGCACGCGGAGCCTGACAGTCCTTTAAGCCCCTGGTTCATTCCTGAGGCCCTGACCTCAGCCGTTCTTGCGCCCCCATCCCCGGGCCTCTATCGTATCCTTCGCCAGGATGCCGCCTGTCTGCCGGAGGAGGATAGGGATCTAGAGGCCTAAGCACTCAAACAGATTTTTAAGTAGTTACCCTGTTTTATCTCCAGATGTTAAAGAGACTTGCCTGGTGGTACAGTACAATAGCGGGCACCACACGTAGTCTCCAGTATGTGCACGTTTAACATGCATAACCATCCAAAGAGACCGTCCTTCGCTACTTTCTCAGAAGAGACGGTCGTCCTGTGCGTGGGAGCAGCTGCGGCGCGAGCACACTGTCCTTACGCTGCGGGCCAGCCAGTCCTCTGGGCCTTGCTCCAGGACCTGGCTCGCCGTCCGGGGCTCGTCTTCAGGATTCTCTGCACTCAGCAGCTCTGTGGTTCTCAGAAACAGAGGCTGCAATTCAGGCTAAAATCAGATTTTGTCATAAGGTCTCATGCTGGTCCCCTGCAAATTTGTCACTGAATAGCAGCCAGAATGGAGGGCCCCTTGAGCTTGAGGACCAGACTAAATGGCTCTGCCACGTGAGCCGCCCTCACCGCCACGCTTCCCCTAGGCCGGTCTTTACTCGTGCACCGGCGCTCTTCTCGGCTCCCCTGAGCATAGCCTGAGCCGGCGTTTGCTATGTTCCAGCTACCTGACCTACATCAAGCTGTCAACGGCGATCAGGCGGAACGAGAACATGGCCAAAGGTCTGCAGAGGGCCCTTCTGCAGCAGCAGCCGGAAGACGACAGCAAACGCTCCCCCCGGCCGCAGGACCTCATCCGGCTCTACGACATCATCCTGCAGGTGACCCCCAAGGACTGCGGGAGTGGGGGCCAGGCCTGACACGTGTTGGACACACAGTGACTCAGCATTGTGTAGCGGGAGGGTCGTGGCAGCCAGAAGCTGTCAGCATCTTAGTCAAAGGCAAGAGGCTTTGCCCTTGGACCACTTCAGCAGTCGATGTCCCCAGGGCTCAGGCGTGTCACCGTGCAGACTGGTGGGCCCACAGGTTTGCTTTGAGCGCTTTGCCTGCGTGGGATACTCCCATGTGCATGGGCATCCTGAGACCAAGGCCACACTGTCTCGGCCCACTGGGAGTCTGCCAGTGAGCAAGGTGTGAGACCCGTGAACACAGACCCGGGTCTGCGTGGGTGCCAGACGAGCGGCCACCCCGAAATGAACATGCAGAGCTGGAGAGGTGTCCTCTGGCTGAGCTGCCCCGAGGAGGTGAGCTGTGAGCTGAGTCAGGAAGGACAAGTAGGCTTCCAGTACCACAGAGGAGGATGGAGGCGACACCAGGCGTGGCTGTTGCCAAGTCACTTGTCACTGACTCTTCCCCACTGTTTCAAGCCCAGGCTCGCTCTTTCCACCCTTGTCTGTCCCTGCAGGGTCTTTCAGAAACTCAGTCTGTGGCCCTCCCTTCATGAGTTTTCTTTTTACATATTTTGTGCAGAATCTGGTGGAATTGCTCCAGCTTCCTGGCTTAGAGGAGGACAGAGCCTTCCAGAAAGAGATAGGCCTCAAGACCCTGGTGTTCAAGGCTTACAGGTATGGTCTCATGGGGTGGGTGGGGCTCTCCTCTGCCGCCCGGTGTCCTGTAAGCCTTGGGAACATGTCCGTCCCCCAGAGGTTTAAGTCGCTGGCTGTCAGCCGGTTACGTTGCCCATCATCAGAGAACAGTCAGCCCACGTGATCTCTGGAAGTCTCGGGTTGTGCTGCGGGTTTCCAGTGTCCCTTGTTTGCTCTTGAGTAGGTTAGGGGACCAGGAGAGCACTCACGATAAATGTCTCTGCCCTGCTCTCCTTCCCAGTGGAAAATGGACAAGTGTTGGAAAAGTTGTTATTAGCAGAACCTGCACTGAGTTTGAGGAAAGCTAAAGCGACTTTTAAACGGCTCATGTTGTTTGTAGCTTGGAGGGTGAGCTGTGTAGCAGGATGGGGTGTGGGCAGAATGGCAGAGTGGAGCCGTGTGTGTAACTGCACCTCCCTTTCTAGTCCTCACACCCCAGCACTCTGACTCCCCAGGGTGCCCCGTCTGCACCCGAGTTGTCCCTCCCAGCTCCCATGGACCCTTCCATCCCGTCGGGCCAGCAGCCCCCAGGCTCCATTGATCCCAGTAGACTGATTTCCATTAGGAGGAGATTTCTTGGGTTTGGGTTTTGAGAGAGAGACGGGCAGAGCTGAACGGTTGTGACGCGGATATGTGGGTGGTGCCGGGCGGGGTTTATGGCTGAGCCAGGCGACATCGCTCCTCCCTGCCTGTCCCCAGCCTCCTCCGTGTGCCTTTGGGAACTGCCCCTTCCGTGCAGAACCAGCCAGTGAGTGAAAGACAGTGGGTCAGCGCTGGACCTGTGCTGTCACCTGTGACTGCAGGGGGAGTCACCTGTGATCAGCCTGGCTAGGGCATTGAGAATGTCGGGGTGTCCTGTGCAGTGATCCTGTGGTTAAGAACCCCGTTTCCCAATTTAAAGTTTAGCCTCAACGTCAGGGAACGTCTCGCGCTTGGGTCATTGCTGCTTTAGACTGCTCTGGCTCTTTCCCCTTCTCCGTCAGGTGTTTTTTCATTGCTCAGTCCTACGTGTTGGTGAAGAAGTGGAGCGAAGCCCTCGTCCTGTATGACAGAGTCCTAAAATATGCAAATGAAGTGAATTCTGATGCTGGGGCCTTCAAGAATAGCCTGAAAGTGAGTCATAGGTCTCTCCTGGTTTCTGGGGGGCGGGGGGTGCTGTGCAGTGAGGCTCCACAGGGGCTGCCGCTTCCCAAGCTGGTCCTGCCGGGCCAGCTGTGGGACGTGGTATGTCCCCAAGTGCCAAGAGCTGCAGGCTGTGGAACTCCGAGCCGCATTCCAGGCCTGAGGAGGATGTGAGCGCTGGGAAGGACAGCGGTCCTCTGCTTGAATAAACCTGCAGTGCTGCTTTCAGACTTGGCTGCAGGTTGGAGTCACCTGGGAAGATTTTTAAAAGGTGGATGTCTGGGTCCCATTCCCCAGAGATTCTGGTTCTTATTGATGTGGGCTCCAGGATGAGCACGGGGTTTTTTTAAAGCCCCTCATCGATTCTAATATGCAGCCGAATCGGGAACCAGAGATGAAGCCTTTCTGCACAGTGTGCCTGGACCAGTGACAGCGGCATTTGGGCACTTGCTAGAAATGCAGACTCTCAGGCCCACCCCAGGCCTACGGAGTCAAAATCGGCACGTTAGCAGGACGCCCAGGCAGTTCGGGTGCACGTCAGAGCTTGCCTGCTGATCTTTACTAAAGGACTGGGTTGGTTTGGTTTATTTTGTTATCGAGTGACAGCTAGTCTTTTAAGCTTACGGCCTGCTGCGACAACGCAGAGATTCTTAAAGCGCTGGCTGGTCCACGAATCCATGTCTATTTAACGAGTGGAGGCTGTTTAGAAAAGTGAACCGAGGTTTATAATGGTACTGTTCCTTACGTAGCCGTAGCCGGTGTGTGAGGGCTGCTGCTCCTAGGACTCTGGCCATTTAGAGGGTGAGGCTGGAGGGTCTTCAGTGCTCTGGTGGTTTTGACACAGCCACAGACCTGCCTGCAGGAGCCCGTGTACAAGTGCAAAGGCAGAGCGAGAGGAAGGAGCAGAGGGTGTGGGCAGAGGGAGGGGTGACCAGGGTGGCGGCAGCATCCCAGTGGGGTGTCGCCAGGGTGTGGAGGAAACCAGTGCAGTGGTTTCTCAGGAGAAGAAAGATGCGTCACAGATGCCCGTTCTGCCTCATGTGCCAGCAGGTTTGGGGAGGGCTGGGGGATGGAGGCGTGAGGGTTCAGCCATAAGCCGACCTCGGGTCACTCTGAATTTTGCCACGTGAGAGGTGAAGCAAGAGAATGGCCTCGCACTTGAGCCAGCGGCCTGGGTCTGAGTCCCAGCTCCACAGCCCCTGGGGGAGCCACTGGTACATTATTTGACCTGTTCTTCAGTTTCATCTGTGAAAGTGGGTACAGACTACCTCAGGATCATCAGGAAGGTGGAATTAGCAATTATATAAACTGCTCAGAACAGTACTTGGCACAGAATGTAATTAGTGTATGATAAATTTATTAATAATCGTGTTATTTCCAGACATTATTGCTTAAGCCATGGCTTACCTATTCCCATTTGAAGCAAGCTAGTTTTGTTTTGTTTTGTTTTTTTATAGAGCCATTTAAAAAGCCTAAAATCCCATGAAAATATCAGTGGGATCGCTTAACTCTGGTTAGTTTGGTGGGCTTCTCTGACCCCGGTCTCGTGAGTACATTTTTCAAATCGTTATAGGACCTGCCTGACGTGCAAGAGCTTATCACGCAAGTGAGGTCAGAAAAGTGCTCTCTGCAGGCGGCGGCGATCCTGGGTGAGCCACCTGCGTCCCCAGATGTCCCCTCACTGCTGTTCCTCCTCTCTCCCACCCACGCTCCTCTCTTCAGGTTGAAAGGGGTTGTTCCGGTTAATCCGTACGAGTTTTATTTTTCCCTCCATCGCTTCTGCCACGTTCACGCATCCAGTTGTGTAGAGGAATTTAGAGACACTATTACAGTGTTCCTTCTCCCTGCTCGTGTCTTCCCCGCAGCCGGGCCGGCTCCGGGACTTATTGTCTGTCGCTCTGTGTGGCTTCGCAGCGGGTAGGCCCGGGACGGGGAGGACCCACTCGCCCACAGGTCGGCCCTTTCTGCTTTAGGGATTTAGAGCCCACATGTGCGCTAGATGTCATTTGTGACGAGTGTGCTAAGTCCCTTTCCTTACTGATTTCCTGTGAAACTTTCAGATGCAAGTGACTCCCACCAAACAGAGACTTCCTCTCAAGTCAAGGAGAATAAGGTAAGTGGGCTGTGGCTTTTGAGGAATAAAAAGTAAGATTCATAACACACCAGGAATGTGTACTCACAGTACAACCGGAGACCCTTAATTCTAAGGAAACACCCTACTTCCCTCCCTTCTTCTACTCAGACCCGTGAAAGCTGCCTGCGTGAGGTGCGCTAGGCGCCATCCAGTGGTCCCAAACACAAGCCCAGGGACCTGGTGCTGTGCAGAGCAGCAGCCCCGGCGAGGGGTTCTGCCTTGGATGTTTGGCAGGCCTGTACCCCAGTCCCAGCCCACGCCTTTCTTAACCTCTAACTTTTAGTGACTCTCAGCTATAACGTGGGGGTACCCGTCATAAGAGATTTGTGGGGATCGAGTGGAATGGCTCGTGCAGGCCCTGACTGGGCACCGCGCATGTAGCGAATGTTCCACTGTTAGTCTGGTGAACACCCTGTGATTTGACTTCCAGCCCCTGGTTGAGCGGTTTGAGACCTTCTGCCTGGACCCTTCCCTCGTCACTAAGCAGGCCAACCTCGTGCACTTCCCTCCGGGATTCCAGCCCATCCCTTGCAAGCCTTTGTTCTTTGACCTGGCGCTCAACCACGTGGCTTTCCCACCCCTCGAGGACAAGTTGGAGCAGAAGACCAAGAGTGGGCTCACCGGGTACATCAAGGGCATCTTTGGATTCAGGAGCTAACCACTCTTTTCCTTGGGGGCAGGGGGTAATTCTGACTCGGTCTGTATTGTGAGAAAACTCTAGCAAGTCTGTGATATTAAATCCAGGTCTGCGTTGGCCCAGGGCGGGAGTGTAACATCCTCAGCCCTGCGTTCCTATGTCTGTGTGTGTGCGCTCATGTTCTTAACCGGTGTGCCAGGAGGGCACCCTGTTGTCTTCTGGTGGATGTGTGCGGGGTCCCTCTGTCCATACCTCCCGGAGGAGGGCCGCTGCCATCTGGGCCCGTGCGAGCTGTGATTGTTTACCTCTGGTCCGTAACGTGTTCGGGAGGAGGTCCACTCCAGGCACCGCGAGCGCTCGGAAAGCTTTGCTGCGTTTCTTCAGTGCTGTGGACTTAAAACACACTCCTCCTCGCTGTGAGCATCCAGGACCCTTTGGAAAGTTTGTTCGTGACTAGGAAACACTGGCAACGTCCCCCCAGAACGACAGTCAGCCTCCCCCCTTCACTGCCAAGTGAAAGTTCAGAAGTTTCAGAACAAGCAAAGAGCTCTATTTTTAGAAGAAATATGTTATACTCAGAATTGATGAAAACAAATCTTATATTAAAAGGCAAAGATGCTGGAGACTGTGCCCATTTTTTACACGTCCTCACTCAACATCGGTCCCAGTTCTCTCCTCAGGGACGTCGTTGCACAATCCTGTCATGTCTGGTGCGTCCCGACTTCCTGGCACCGTGGGTCTGTCTGATGCCAGATAAGATTGTGTTAGAGGCTCTGTTTCTATAGAGGCCTCAGTCTGTAAGTTTTAGATGCCATTTCATGTTAATTAGTCTCCTTGCCTACCTCTACCCCTCTATTTTTTCCTTAGTCACCCTTTCTTAATTTCTATTGTAGCATCAATAATAAGTCACAAAGCAATGTAAGGAAGCAAGGAATAAAAGTGACTTAACAGGAGATGGACCCGAAACCTCTGAATCCCTTTGGAAGTGGAAACTCATCCCACAGGAAAGAGATTCCTCCACGGGAAGTGCTGGCCGAGGTGTAGCCCGGGCGTGGAGCCGACTAGAGCAGCATGAAGAGGAGGTGGGCCGGTTAAGGATCTGAGAACATTATCTCAAGATGGGTCCCCATTGCGGGCACCATGGTGCCTCTTGCCTGACTAGTGAATTGCAGGAAGGGATTGCCTGGAGTTAGACGAGGCGGGAGACAGAACAGACTTCGTTAGAGCCGAATGTCCTCAAGCACTTAGCTGCTGCTCAGAGATGTGACCTCTCCTCCCCCAGGTTTTGCTTTGGGTCAGAGTCTCAGAAAGTGAAATTTTTTTAAATCGAAAATGTCATAGTCTCTGCCACATGATTTGGGGTATCCTTCCCCCTCCTAAAATATCACGCAGGTGATCTTAGGCTGAGGTGTTGGGTTTTGGTCCCAAAGGCTCAAGGCGGTGTCCCTAACGTGCTGAGTGTCGGAGGCTTCCCCGGCTCACTGGTGCCCCTGGCAGTCCCAAGGCTGCATGCAGTCCAGGTTTGGCAGCTCCCTTGCCGCCTCCTGCTGACATTGGCCACAGCCACAGCTGGACTGTCCTGCGCCAAGAACCCAGGTCAAGGCCCCACTGTGCAGGCAATGCCCAGCCTCCCTGTGCCGGTGTGGGGCTCTGTGGGGGTGGGGTGGGGCTGGGGAATCTCCTGTCCTGTCTTCTGGGAAGATGTCCCTTTGCCTTGCTCTGGGCCCTTCCAGCCCCTCCCGTTCTCAATGTGCCGGCATCAATCATTCTGATCACGCTCGTCTAAGCTGTTCCTTTCCCATGGCCACGTAGCAGTTCCCTTTCTCCTGATGTCCCTGCCGGCCGCTCTGACTCGTAGTGGCCGTTGTCCACCAGCGAGGCTATGACAACACATGTCTGGTCTAATGAGGACATGTTTACATAAGGAGACAGAGCTGGCAGGCCCGAGGTCTGGCTCTCACATTTCTTCACATAGGGTCCCTGGACATCAAACAGGCTGTGTCCTGGGGGCCAGAGCTCCAGAAGCAGGATCCTGCCCTGTCCTCAGGCCCAGGGAGTGGCTCTGGCCTCCTGGGAACAGGTTCTGGGTCAAGCCCTGGGCCAAGGGGTTCAACGTGGAGCTGCCCGGCCCAACGGCCCTGCCTCCCCAGAGAACGGGAGGTGCACCGAGGTCTCCAGGTGGAAGGTCGGGTGTGAGAACCTGTCGTCTTCGGGGGCTCTGTCCTGCTGCCTGGGCTCACGCAGCCCTTCCCCCACCGAGGTGGGCTGTGGTCCTGTCCCCAGGTTTTGACCCTACGAGTCTTCTGTCACCCCAGATGCAGAGTAGAGGGGAAGAATCTCAGCTCAGTCTGTTTATAAAACGTGCTTGTGAGCTGCCGGGTTAGTGGTTTTATTTTCTCGTCGGGTGGTGACGGGCTTGAAATGCAGAAACAGTAGAGGTGAAAAGTTGGCTTCAGGTACCGGCGACGATGCCCATCATCAGATTGGAAAGACACAGTTTGGCCAAGTTTGCCTGTCATCAACCCTGTTGGTTCTGTTGAGGAGAAAAGCGTGAGGCAGCGGGCTAGAAGGCCCTTCGCGCCCAGCCTGCTGTTTTCTCTTCCTTTCTCATGCCTCGTTTTGATGCACGCTGTCTCCGCTTTTACGTTAAACCAAGTGAGATTCTTGGATTCCTTGTCTGACATGAAACACTGCCGCGCTCGGCTCCAGCTCCTTCACTTGGTGGCAACCTGAGTCTTTCACGCTGGCCGTGAGGCGACGCCCTGGGGCGGTAGTGCGCCCCTCCACCCACAGCAGCCCTGGACCATCGTCGACCATTCCTCCCGAAGCCGAGGCGACAGCCTCAGCCCCTCTAGCAGAGGAAGCTGGGTCTGGGGCCTGTTCACCGTCACTGCTGTGCAACGCTGGCTTTTCACGCGGCATCATTCATTACACGCACAGCTCATTGCTCACAGACTTCTAAACAGCACGGGGCCGTCTGCCGTCTTAAAAAGCTTGGAAGCTTCAAAGGGCTAGGGAAATGTCCAAAGATAGCAAAAATGCGTGTCGGTTCTAATTTTTTTTTAAAGACAGTTGTTGCTACAGAGGAGATGGAAACCAGATTTAGCTGTAAAATTTATCGATGTTCCAAAGCAAAGATGAATTGCAACCTGCCTGCATCCTGACAACAACAACTGGACAAATCCAGCCTGCTGGTCTGTTGGATGTTAGAGATGCTGCGTGTGGGTGCGCAAGGGCGCGGGTGCCAGCGGGGCCCCCAGCTGTGGGGGTCCACCTTTCCAACACTGTCTGGCACAGCAAGAGCCGCACAAGCTGAGCTAGCTGTGCTGCTGGTTGGTAGAAATTAAAATATAGTCCCTGTTCCGGGACTGATCTAAGGATCTAAGGTGTGTTTCATTTTTGCTTTGGGAGCAGAATAGTGACAGCTGTTAGAAACCCACTGCTTCCCTCCCTCCCCACCCCCACCGAGGGGGTTTTAATGATGTCGAATGGCCCCTGTTCTCAGCTGGTGGTTTTGTTCACGTCTGTGAACGGCCACGAGGCATCCTCCTGCTCAGTCTGCTTGAATGACCCCTCGCCACTTAGAAAAGAACCGCATCCTTTTGGTTAGGCTGAGGTTGCTTCAGAGAGCTTGGTCAGGCACTGTAGTGACGACAGGCAGGCCACCGGGGCCCCAAAGCTGGTAATAGCTCTGTCTCAGCTGTGGAACGGAGGGGTCGTCACCTGTGAGATGGGGACATCTGTTCTTCCTGGAGAAGGAAAACGTGCAGAGCGCTTCGTCCCGGCCGGTATTCACCTGGGGAAGTGCCCTCCCCTCCCCGCCGTGGGAGCTGGCATTGGGACCTCGCTTCTGCCTCCCTGTGGCCCACAGGGCCCACTGGCGTCGGAGCCCTTCCCTGGCTGGCCTGGGGCCCGGGCCCTGGGACAGCGCTCCGCCCAGAGAGGACTGGACCTGTAGAAGTCTCTCCCTCACTGTGGCCTGACAGCGGGGAGGTGCCCGGGGTCTGGCGAGTGTGGGCTGCTGCGCCCCTAGCTGGTGGGGCCAACGGCTGTGAGTCGAGGACACCTTTCTGTCGCCGGTGGCCTTCTCCCATCTCTAAGCAGGCCCCTGCCTTGCCCCCTGCCTTGCTCACATCCCAGAGCCGCGTGCTGCTGGGTCTCGGTGACATCATTAGGGCAGCAGGCTGAGTGTGATAAGCCGCTCTTGTGTACTTTCCTGTGTCCTGGCAATGAAGACTAATTAGGCCAGCCCCTCGGCTACGGAGACTTACTCTTTATTTTGTGTGTTCATCTTATAACCCTTTCTCTTCTCAGACTGTGGCCAGGGCTCAGTGCAGCTTCACCCCCACTGCTGTAGTGCAGCCAGTGTAACTAGCTGCCATGCCGGCTGTCGACCTTGCAGGGACATTAGTGAGCCGCCTCCATCAGACCTGAACTTCTCCGATAGGGCTGCAGGTCCCCAGACCTAGCTGTTAAGGCTTCAAGGTGGCAGAGAGGCTCAGAGCCCTCGGGCAGGTTGGGAGGCCTGGAGGCCCAGCCGTCGCCGAGTAAGCGTGGGCTGGCCTGGCCGCAGACTTCTGACATGCGGGGATGGCTTGTGCCGCGGTCTGCTGCTGTGACTCGGAGGTGTGGGCTATAACACCAGCACGGGTCCTACAGGTGGACCGAGGCCACCACAGTTGCCCAAGGCTAGAGAAAATGAATCATTGCTAGAGAGGGACAGGTACTCAAGGCAGCCTTGCCCTTGCCCTTGGGACTTAGAACTCCTGAGGTCCCTTCTGTCTTGCGATCTAGTATGGGGACCCCTACTCTCAACATAGGCAGGGCTGGTTTGAGCTGCTTCCTCTGGACTCCCTGTAAAAGGCTCAAGAGGAATAGCCAGCACCTTTTCCTGCTCCTGCTCTAGCTGGGTGAGCCATGGTCACCTGCTTCCCTCCAGGCCAGCCTGCGGCATTTCTTTATGTCAGTCCTGCTGGGCAGACTTGTAGCCCAGACAGCTTCTTCCAGACCGCCCTGCGGTCTCCTTGGGCTGTGGTCTCTACCTTCTCCGGCACCTTCGGACAGAAGGAGGCTCATCCCCTAATTTCCCTCCTCACCAGCCTTTGTCCCCTCGTCCCAGCTGGCGGAGGCACCTTTGTTCCTCTGCAGGCCAAGAAAGTGTAAGGCAAGAGAGATCATCAGCCACCTTGGCTCCAAGAGTCTGGTGGCAGAGCTTTTGTATAAACAGAGGGCAATTTCCTGAGATGGCAAAGCTCGTCTTGATCGGGGAGCACGTGACAGCCTGGCAGCTTGTGGCTCCCAGGGCCAAGTGGGCAGTCGCCACCATCTGCTTCAGCAGAGAGAATGGCTTTCCCTGCAGAGCCTGGTAAGCTGCAGGAGAGAGTATGGGCAGCTTAAGCACCGGCACACTATTCAGGTCGTCATCCTGTCACCTAGCTGTGTGCATGTATGCATGGCAGCCTCGGAGCTGGGGGCTGTGCTGCTTTCAGCCTTGATCAGCCCTCCTGCCCTGGCCTTGGGCCCCATGAGCTGTGAGTGGCCCACATCACCTTGTTGGAAGCTCCAGGAAAGGGGATGTGACTACGCTGCCACTTAAAGTCATAGCTGGCACAGTGCTGGAGGG